GAAAAGAAATCAGTGCTGGCAATAAATATCATTTAACTTTTTTCGCTTAAATTCCTATTAGAGATAAACATAAACATCGTACCTTTCTAGTAGGATGACCCAAGTGTTAGGGACGACTGTAGTCCTTAAAATGCATATTTCCTTTATATTATTAAATTGCCTTCTGCAGGACTATATTGTGACATATATATTTATTTATTATTGAACTTTTTGAACTGGCTCTTCATTTATATTTTAAAGCTTTAATTAATTGAAATATTTATTTATTTATTTTGCTTTATTAGCCAAAAAAAAAAAGAAGGAGAAACTAATGCCATATTAATATTTAAAAGAAATCAGAGTTAAGAACAACATCTTTTCATCTGATATATAAATATGTACATTTATTGCAAATGCTATATATAGTATAACAGATTTATATGAAATATTTAAGGAAAAAGTGGCAAAGAAAACCTTAATTATAATCAAATAAAATGTGTATTTAGTTGATCTGCCAAATAAACCGAAATTTCCTCAATAGCTTACGTCTGACCCGAGTTGCGCGACCACTTCCGCATCGACTTGTTTGCTCATGTCCGTTTCCGTTCCCACAGCCACTTCCGTTCCATGCGCCTCTTGGTGACTCTAATTTCAAGAGCGCGAAATTTCACACGCAAAGCTATTGCATTTGACACGCGACGCTTCAGAAGAAAAATAAGCGGGCGGGCGAGAGAGAGCTAGGGGGAGTGGGGGAGAGAGTAGGGAGCTGTCCAAGATGCTGTAAAAATGGGCGACTGGTGGGCAGTTGTGGGGCAGAGGCCGCAAATGCCTCAGCATGTACGAACTGAGGGAATGAAGAACAGGCTGCCAGGCGTATGCAGCACATTGCATCGATGCCGTTTCTCTCTCTCTCTCTCTCTCTCTCTGTGTGTGTGAATTTGCTTTTGATGCAGCTGCTGTTGCCTATATATGGGCGCTCGTAGCTGGTAGCTGCTGGTTTGCCTTTTACAGCATTCTGGGCGCCTGGCCGGCTTGGCCATTTTTAGAAAAGATTCGCACACTGAACCACACACACACACTGCACCGCCTATTGTTGTTGTTGTATTTGGTGCTGTTCACCTTTATCAAAGCGCTTTTGGGGATTATAAGTGGTGCACGAAATTTGTTTGCACAGCAGCTTCAAACGCGTCGAAGGATTAGGATCCTACAGCGTCTCTCCTTTAGGGCCCGTCCATTTCGTGCCCTTGTCTGCTTGTTTTCTGCCCGCTGTCTGTGCATAATTGGACAAACTGATGAGATTTCTGCCACACATGCGGCCTGCCTGGCTGCCGAATTCAAGTTCCAGAGATTGAAATCCCTTCTACTTATACTTCTCCTTCTACTGCTTGCGTTGCGGCTACTTGTTATCGCCTTGTTGGCAGACAAAGCCTTGTTTTTAGTGCCGTGGCATTGATGCCATTATTGAATCTTTAATGTCGTCAATGGGCCAGTGGCGATTGCAGCTGATGGCAAACGTGTTGCATGCCCCCAGCTCCTACCCCCTACCCTCGTCACATCCGAGTCCCTCCAACACCAATCGGCAATTGACTGACAGCAAGCACGTCGCTATCCTTGGGCGCTGTTTAAACGTCAAAAACAAAAGGAAAACCTCAGAGCATTAGTAGAAGCGTTATTGTGCAGTATAGTTATACTTGTAGCTTTATTTTCATAAATACACCTACAATGCAAATGTACAGAATCTGCTAAACTTTAAAGTTATTTAAACCAATAGGAAAAGTCTCATTTGATTTGAGGCAGAAGTTTTTTTTTTTTTTGTGGGCTGACAAAATATCTCTTCTTTATGCAACACAACGCACCTTACGGTTCAAGGCAAATATATTGCTGCTTCACAAATTCGTGGGATTGCTTTCCAATTTGCGTGAAGTTTCACTTAATTTAAAAAAAAAAACAAACATATAAGTTATCTTAAATAATTATAATTATGTGTTTTGGAATAAACTACAATAAAATAAAGAGCATCATACTTTTTTAATGCAAAACTACTTAGGATTGCTTTTTTAATTTTCGTGTAAAAAAATAGACAAATTATCTGAAACAATTACCTGTTTTTTGAGAAAAGAAAATACAATAAAATGAAAATCCTAAGCTTGACAATTTAAGTGACGTTTCATTTCATTTTTAGAAACAAACATAGTATTAAAAACAATTGCATATGTTTATCTTTTTTTGATAGATCTAAAGAGCGAAAAAGTAGACTATTATTGGTATTTCGTGTAGAATTAATAGAATTTTTATTTTATTAGGATTGCTTTTTTAGGATTGCTTTTTTAATTTTCGTGTAAAAAAATAGATAAATTATCTGAAACATTACCTGTTTTTTGAGAAATGAAAATACAATAAAATGAAAATCCTAAGCTTGACAATTTAAGTGACGTTTCATTTCATTTTTAGAAACAAAGTATTAAAAACAATTGCATATGTTTATCTTTTGTTGATAGATCTAAAGAGCCGAAAAATAGACTATTATTGGTATTTCGTGTAGAATTAATAGAATTTTTATTTAAAAATAATGATATGCATAAGCATATGAATTGTGGAATATTCATTCAGAGACAAATATAGTAAGTAAAATAAAATAAATAAATGCACAGCAAAAAGAAACTTCTCTCACTGTCTTCTGTTCCGAAAACAATTAATCTCGTGATTGAGCGAATTTGTGGGCAAATTATTTGCCTGTGTGATTGAATCGGTGGCTTCAGAGCCAAACGAGTGACTATTAATGTGTCTTAGAGCTCGCAATGATGTGAGCAGAGCAATTCGTGTGAACTCGCCTTTTGCCGTGTATTGTCATCAGGAAATCGGTTGGCTTTACTCCCAGACAGAAGACAGACGACAGGCTGGCGAAAATATTGTCAAACTGCAATGAGCGGCATGCCAACGTCTTCGTCATCGCCATCATCATCGTCTTCAGTATTGCCATTGCCATTTCCAAATGGGACAACATTGCGGCAAAGTTTTGATGCAAAAAGAAACGCAGCTGAAATTCGCGTTGCGCCTACTTTGCCATTTTGGCCACCTTCGTGTTGAAAATTGCGAAAACTTTGGCGATTGAGCGTTGATGGTGCGAAGGGCGAATCGCAGGGGCTACTGGACTACTCTAGCGTAGAAAATAGTTATATACATAGTTGGCGCTGCCTTTGCAATTTTTATTTCTTCTTCCTCCTCCTCCTCCTTCTGCTCGTCCTCCATTCGCGACAGTCGTCTACAATTGTTGATTTATGCAGGTGGCGGGCGGCAAAACGTTGACGCTAGTGCTGGCCTCGAGGAAGGGGGATCAATGGGACCAATGTCCTCGGCCTGGAGTTATGCTATGCTGGAGTTTGTTTTTGTTTTCGTTTTTATTTGATTTCATTTTTTTCGGCATTTTGTCATTAATTAAAAGCGCAACAATATGCGAAATGTAATTGTTTGTTCAAGCGTCTCAGCATGGCAAGCAAACTTTTAAAGCCGCTTCTCTGATTACACTCGAGCAGCAGGACGAAAGGAGCTGAGTGGGTCGAGCGGGTCCAGCAGCTGATTTTTGGCTTTTGTGTGCTGCCTGTTGCCTTTGGTCTTTGGTCTTTGGTCTTTGGTCTTTGGCACTTTGCTTTTAATTAGACTCGGAGTGTGAAAAAGTTGTTCATCCTGCTGCTGCTCCTCCTGCTCCTTCTCCTCTGTAATCAAATCCTAGCACGCGCACTCTTTGCCACTTTCCATTGCATACTTTTGAGCGCGCGCTCCAAAATCAGAAAAATATTTATCAAAATGCTTAAGTAGCTGCGACATTTTTACTCTTTGCTGCCACCATCCGCCTCTCTGCCTCTCTGCCTCCGCCACCCCCGCACACTAAAAAGGAAACGCTTCACTTTGCTGTATGAAATTTTAAGCCAAAGCCATGGGAGAGCAGGGAAGGGGGCGGGCAACATGCACAGGATGCTGTGGCTAACGATGCTGCCGGTGGAGCGGGTATGTGTGAGCTAGAGTGGGAGTGGGTCGGTGTGAGGTTTTATCAAGTTAGAGACTCCCACACATACACACACACACACGCACGCACACACACATTCGCACACAAACAATGAACAAAGTTTTGCTTTCAAGTTGTTGTTGTTGTTGCTGGTGGTGCTGGTCGCTTGTTTGCCAGCTTGCTTGATTTGTTGCATGCCATCATCAAATTGTTATTTGCCTTTTTTTCTGTTGTTGTTGCTGTTGTGGTTGTTGTTGCCGCCCTGCTCGGGAGGTGAGCGGAAGGGAAGGGAAGGGATTCACTGCTTGTTAAACTGCATCCGGTTGGCACTTAATTGCAACATCAGTCACACGAATGCTCCGCACACGAATTTGTGTCTCGGCCAAAGGACTTAACAGCTGATTCTCACTTCTAATGGCAGAGTTTATGAAACACCCCCTTTTCAATCAATAAAATGAAAATAAACACAAATAAATAATAGAAATAAAATGCAATCAGAATATAAATGATATCAAGAGCTAAATAGATAAATATTTATGGTAATGCTTATTTTAATTTAAATGATCTAATTGCCACCAAACTATTGGAAAGCTACGACTCTCTTTATCATCTGAACACAGCTTCATCAATCATGCATTTCTTTACGATAATTTTTTGATGAGTTCAGCCAATTCATGAAAATTTCTTCAAATTTGTGTCCGGCCTGAGAGTTTACAAAACTTTTAGGCACCCTTCCGTAAAGCAAAAGAATCTAAATTATATTCTTCACGAGCATACGATCTCATTTTGTCGATTGCTGCGTAAAATGTGAGAAAAACAATATTCATGGACACGAACTTTTTCAAAGCAAATTTAAGTATGGTTTTTTTTTTTTGTTTCGCAAGAAAAACTAATGAAAATTCCTTTCCACAAATCATAAACGCATATTATAGCATACTTACTTGTATTTCGCAAATTGAAGTATGAAGTATTAAGCTCGATTTAATTAGTCGTTTTCTTTTGTGCTTATCTTTTGCAGAATGCCAAGCCAATGAATATAAATGCCACAGCGGCACATGCATTGATGCGAACAGACGCTGCAACAATTATGCGGACTGTCCAGATGGCGATGATGAAGGCGAAGACTGCAGTAAGTAGAGACAGCCGCAGAGCTAACCCTCAAAGGGATAATTTGAAATACACATACAAAAGAACACGAGCTTAGTGTCTAAAACGAATGAGTTAAATAATGGTAGGCTCGTCCAGGCGTAGGCAACTGGCTGGACGGCTTATGAGTAACTAGCACTAAGGCGTTTAGTTCTAAGACAAATGCTGCCACCATCGGCCAAGGTCTAGCTCTAAGTAACGCGCCTTTAACCCACACACACACACACACACACAAACACACACACACACAGCTAATACACACATACAACATTCCAATTAGTTATCAATAATGTACTAACCACATAACATATAACAACACACTCTCTCTCTCTCTCTCTCGTTCTCTCGCCGCGAATAACGAAAATAATGCATGACTAACCAACCAATAAACCGACAAATCCGTTACTAACAACAACAACAACCACTACAGCGGCCGCCTGTAGCGCCATGGAGTATCAGTGCCAAGACGGTACCCGTTGTATCAGCATCAGCCAGCAGTGCGACGGCCATGCCGACTGCAATGACTCCGACGACGAGGAGCATTGCGACGGAAGTGAGTATACGGCATCGTTCATGGCTCATCAGTGTCCCACTCTCTCTCTCTCTCTCTCTCTTACTCTCACACTCTCTGTGCTGCATTTTGGTTCGGCCACAGTCGTGCCCAAATTACGGTACACCTGCCCGAAGGGCAAGTTCACGTGCCGCGATCTCTCGTGCATATCGATAGTGCATAGATGCGATGGACGCGCTGATTGTCCGAACGATCGTTCGGACGAGGAGGGCTGCCGTATGTGTTTTCAAGCTAGCAGCCCTATTCTCTCACTCCCTCACTGTCTCCCCTCTCTTTCGCCCCTGCCACACCCACACCCACACCCACACACACTTGCACACAAATACAGCCTGTCTCTATGACAAATGGCAGTGCGACGACGGCACCTGCATAGCGAAGGAGCTGCTCTGCAATGGCAACATCGATTGTCCCGAGGATATATCCGATGAGCGTTACTGCGATGGTGAGCAGTAGTCCAAATAGAATATAGAGTACACTATGTACTATATACTTGTATGCACATAGAGTTTTAGTCATTGTTGTTGCTCTGAAATCATAGAAGTCAAGTTACGCTCGGGTGTGTCAGGTGTCAGGTAAGTGGCACCATTTCTATCAGCACTTTTTCGCACTTCACACTTCTCCTCCAACTCCGATTTCAATTCCAGTTCAGTTTAGTTCGTCTTTTAGTTTTCGATTTTAGTTTTTGCTCCTAGCTCGACATATATGTACATATATGTATGTATGTATGTATGCAGTCAGTCTCCACGTCATGTTACAATCGGCGCCTGTCAGCCGTCAGTCGTCGTAGTCGTCTTGGCATTGGCTTACATCCTGCCATTTGCCATTGCCCACAATTTCCACTCTTGGCCACTTTGCCTCGTCAGTGGCCAGAATCGCAGTGACCGCATGACATGTATGGACATGTATGTACATGTTTGCCTGTACAGTCGACACCGGGCGTACGAAGAACCGATTGTCGATTGCTTCCTATTAGTGTTTGCTCTCTCGCTCTGTGAGTTTTGGCTGACGTTTTCACAACTATTTGAAATTCAAGGAATGCCAAACCAAGTCCCCTGCCCCACACACCCCCCCTCTCATATTCATGCCAAACAACATAATCTTGTTGCCACATCACTTGACCGTTGCCGCTTCCACTGCCACTGCTAGGTGGTAACGAATTCGAGATCTGTGCGTACAACGAGTTCCGCTGCGGCAACGATGAGTGCATTCCGATGCGCCAGGTATGCGACAATATCTACGATTGTAGCGATTACACAGACGAACAGAAGTGTGGTAAGTGTTCTCGGTGTTGCTGGTGTTATCGGTTATCGGTTATCGGCCATCGACTGTGTCGATAGTCATTAACGTGTGTGTTATACAAATATTATGTATGTACCTCTGTATGCTTGGCAAGGTTTCTGGTATTTAAAAACAATCAACAAAAATGTAACTAAAAATTTTGGTGGCTGGTTAACTCTACTCAACGTACTCCTTCTAGCTTTTCTTCGTTCGCGCTCTTTACCTCTCTCCCTCTCTCTCTCTCTCTCTCTCTCTGTATTCTGTGTGCTGCTTTCGCGTATATATTTCTATGTGTGTTCAACTGAGAGTCGAATTTTGATTTTAACACCGATTTTATTTTTCTTTTCCCTTTCCCTCCAAAAATGAAACCGAAATTTATGAACGTCTGTGAAACAAACTCACGTTTGTGGTTGTGGTTATTGAATATATTAAAACTATATCAACTAAAATCAAACGATTAATTGCACGACAACAAATTCAACAAATTCAACAACAACAACAATTGGCAAAAATAATTGCATGCGTATCCAAAAATGTATCGAAACAAAATTGAAATTTGAAAAAAAAAAAAACGAAATCAATATCAAAACTTAACACGGCCCCCGGTTGCATGCGGTTGCCTCTTGTACTGTCCCAAAACCACCACGACCACCATCACTGCACCAACAAACCATGCAGACGTGGACAGCTATGATCGCGACACCTTCGACGACGATGAAATAATTCGCAGCTATGGCCAGCATCATCCGCAGAAGCCCATTCGCCCGCCGCCCATTATAGGTCGAGGTGCGGGTATGCACGAGCTCGATGAGAGAGAGTACGAGCTCTACCATCCGAATATCTATGAGAAGAACAGCGCTCGAATTCCGTGCGCCGCCGACCAATTCAGGTGCGCCAACAACGTCTGCATTCCCATCTACCTCCGCTGCGATCGCTTCTATCATTGCAATGACATGAGCGACGAGATCGGCTGCGATCGTTACGAGCCAGTCCAGACCACCCGGCGTCCCGTTCTCACCACCAGACCCGTGTGGCGCACTGACGCGCCACCCGTTGCTACCGGTTCGGGCCGATGGCCTCCTCTGCAGCTGGAGCAGAGGACGACGACAACAACAAGAACAACGACCAGAACTAACTATCAACCACTTCTAACCACACCACCGACAACATCAGCGCCTGTGGCTCTGCCGAGTAGGTTTTATGGTTTGCCTGTGGATCGCGCTTTGCGCTCGTTTTCTGTAGCATACTCTTAGGCGGTGCTGGTTAATTGTACGATAGTGACGTAATTGTTGCATACCTAGTACTACGAATACCTATACATATGTACATCGAATTAGATAATGACCGATGATAACGATAATGCTAATGATGACGAAAGCAGAAGCATTCCCATAAAGTGCATGCATGTCATTGTTTTTTGTTTAAAACTCAAACAACAAAATTTACTTAAGCCACACACACACACACACACACGCACACATCGAAACACACACACACGCACATACACATCAGCTCAGATATAATTTAGCGTTTAATGTTACATGTATTTTTAATTGATGCCGCTCTTTGAATTCTGCCTCTTCCTCTTTCTCTCTCGCTCTATCTATATACTATATACACACATATATATATGTAACTGTTGTGTTGTTTGTCTGTCTGACCATCACCCATGCCTTGCCACGTCACGAAACGCCCACGCCCGCGCCACGCCATGCCGCGCCACACAATGCCACACCACGCCACACCACGCCACGGCAATCCATGTCACGTCATACACCCATCCACACACTTAGCCATCAACTCATCATCACCATCATCGCCAGCGGCCGATGTCACTGGCACCGGCACCGGCAGCGGCAGCGGCACAGCAAATTGTCTCGAAAACATTGAATTCGCGTGCCACAATCGTGATTGCATTTCAATTGAGAGCGTCTGCGATGGCATTGCCGACTGTGCCCAGAACGAGGACGAGGACTATCTGCTCTGCAATTGCAGTCCGGACAAGGTAAGGCACACACCCCGCACACTCACCCGCACACACACACACACACACACACACACACACACCACAACAACTACAGCAACCAAGGCTGTACCCAACACATATGCAGCAAAAGCTCAAAAATTGAATACCAACCAAATCCCAGAAACCACAATCAACGACAATTGTTGGATAGTTAACGCAAATTATTCTTTAATTTACAGTCGAAATTATTATTTCCAATGAATGATGATGAGTTATTTAGTGAACAGTTCATTTAGTTATTATATAACGATTTGCAATTATCTTAATAAGTCAGCAAAAAGATTGAAAGATATCTACAGTTTTATGTTCCCGCTATTAATTTTATTTTCAAACGAGTTGGGTTTTCTGTCCGAAAATGTTAAATTTCAAATCATTTTGGATCCAGACTGTATATTGAAGAATAATGTTAACTCTTTCGCCAGTTGATTAAGTATTCATTATATTTAAAGTTAAATCAAAATCTGAGCTTTAAACGACTAAGTAATTCATTATAAAAATATCACACTGTTCATATTATATTCTTTGGTTGGACCTAGCTTCTACGAAAATAAACATTAAATTTTGAAACAAAGGGGTCATCTAATTTGATTTCGAAAGAACAAGTAGTGCCCATAATCGAAAAGGGGGAGTTGCTATTTTTGAGCGTTTGTATGTATTTGCGAGGGTCACCTGCATAACCACACACCCATACATGCCTACATACATACATACATACATGCATTTACATGTGCTCAGTACAAATGTCAACGCGGCGGCGGCTGCATACCCAAAACTCAGGTCTGCGATGGCAAGTCTCAGTGCCGAGATGGCAGCGATGAGAGCGCGTGTCGTAAGTACAGTCACCAATTCTACACTCCCCTTCCGTTCAATCTCTCTCGCTCACCGGCACACTCTCTCTCTCTCTCTCTCTCTAGCGCTGGAGAGTGTGCAGTGTTGGGCAATTTTTTAACATACCCCTTTGTAGCTTGTGCTAACCTTAGCATTTAAGACGAACTGATGCATTTTTAGTTTTTATTTAAGCAGTTGATATTTCTAATTACGTATATTTAGTTAAGCATGCGCCCTTTGTAGCTCTATTGCGCTCACTTTTACTTCGTTTATCAACACACATTTTCATTTTCTTTTTCACATTCTTTTCCATCAATCCATCAATCTCTGAACTTTGTATTATCTGAACTCTAAATATTCGCGCAACTTTATTGCTGCCTATATCTGCTTTCAACAACAACGACAACAACAACCTTTCACACATCAACTACTCAACAACCACAACAACAACAACATCAACAACAATATCGTTATCGCCCTCGACATCCTATATTCATCCATCACATCCATGCAGACTTCCATGCCAAGTTTAATCAGAGCCGAGGAGGCGTCGAATGCCTGAACTATCAGTACCAGTGTGGCGATGGCAGCTGCATCTCCGGCTATAAGCGCTGTAACGGTATCACCGACTGCGCCGACGGCGCCGACGAGTACAACTGTCTGATCAATTATGATGATACAAACTATGGTACCGCGTTTGATATCTAAAAACAAAAACCACAAAAACACTCACATTAACAATGCCTCAGACACACAACTTCACAGCCTTATACGCAACAACATTATTCTCAACAACATTTTACTCTTCTTCTTTTGTCTTTTCATGACCATTGAACACAAACAAACACACACATACCCCACATATATACACACACACACACACACACACACACACAACACCTTATACATGCACAAACATTGAAACATTGAAACATTCATGCTATCATGTAGACATCGACTCCAACAGTAATCCATTGAATGAGTGTGATATCTATGAGTTTGAATGTGATTTCACTCAGTGTATACCGTTAGAGAAGAAATGCGACGGTTATCCGGATTGTACCGATGAGACAGACGAGCTCGATTGTCCGCCCTTCACAGGTAAAATCGATAATTTAATTGAATTGAAGATCGATAGAGATCGACGAAACGTCGTTAGTGCTCGAAGCTAACAAGTCCCACTCCCAAAACTCACATACTGACACCGATACTCTTGTATATATGTATATTTAATTGTATGTATATATGTATGTATGTACAACAACCTCTGTATGTATGTATGTACGTATGTTCGTATGTGTGCGCCTCATTTACAGAGCACTGTTTAGAGCACGAGTTCGAGTGCGACGATTATTGTATTCCACGCGATCATCTGTGCAACGGCATTGTCAACTGCAACGATGGGAACGACGAGCGCAACTGTACTTTTTGCCGAGAGGGTGCTTTTCTGTAAGCCACGTTTCTTAGCCCCCGAACAAGTCCCCCAGCGGGCCGATTGCCATTTCAAAAGCTCCAATATTCTGCTTCTTTTCTTTCATATCAAACGCCAACAAAACACACGATAATTACTTCACACATGTACATATACATTGAATCATCAACTCAAACACTCACTTACACAACACACTCACAAAAATATGTAAATGTATTCACCTTGTGACGTCATCAGTTGCGACACTGGCAGCTGCATTGCCGGTAAACTGCAGTGCAACGGTAATATTGATTGCGCCGATGCCAGCGATGAGCGTCAATGTGGTAAGAGCAACAACAACAGCAACAGCAACACAACAACAAATTACAAACACTCACTCACTCACACCCAGAAACACTCACACGCATTCACTCATACACTCACCTGCGCACTTGTAACTTAGATCTGTAGTTGCTGCTTTGTAGGTTTTGTAGAGGTCCTTCAATGTGGGAAATACTCGTGCATAGACTGAGCACCGACTCGATTTGCAATTTGACATTATCTCTCTCCTTCTCTCTCCCTCTCTCTCTCTTGAATTGTCCATTTAAGCGAACAGCGGCTGTGCGCCCTATCAGTTCCTGTGCAACGGCACCTGCGTCCATCGGGCGCTCAGGTGTGATGGCAAATATGACTGCAATGATCACAGCGATGAGAGAAACTGCCCGGGTAAAGAAATAAGAATTTACCTCGACTTTACTTCGAGAGTCTTTCAAAACTCTACTCCTCCACTTTTTACAAATTCTTCAGAGACTCCAACATTTTTGGCAATTTCAGTAGCACACTACACTGTTAAAAAAAAAGGCGTTTTATATTCTAACAAGATATGAAGAAGCCAAGAAAGAAGCTCACTCATACACTCATTTGCGACCAAGCGGATGCAGAGGTCGCAGTGATTTAGAGTTGACAGATTTTTTCTAGCAGTGTAACAGTCTTCCTTTTTCTGTCCCTTTTGCTCCCACACACTGTCATTTCCCAGCGCTCTTCAAACTGCTGCTGCTGTTCTCTCTATCTTCCGCACTCGTTTAAATTGCATTTTTTGTCCCTCTTTATTTTTATGCTGTCATTATTTTGCCGCCCCGCCCCCGATTTGAATGCACATTTGTAAATGAGGATGCCACAGGTAGCAGCAGCAGAAACAGAAACAGACACAACATCCACAAAACACCCACACACAGATCCTGCCACCCCGGCGAGTGGCAATGCGAGAATTTTGAATGCATTAACATTAAGTTTGTTTGCGACAAACATTACGATTGTGCGGATAATTCAGACGAGTTGCCGCACAGATGCTTGGGAGAGGGTAACACACACTCATACCTACTTACCACTAGTCTAAGTACCAATCAAAAAATATCTAAGGTAGTTGTAAGATTTGCTTTAAGCGCCGGTTTTGGATTGTGCAGGTTTGTACCGCCCGCTAACAATTTATAATGTTTTATGCCGCCATTACCTCGCTACTACCCAAGCGTATAACACTCGATGCTCATTATGCCTTCTTGTCTCTCTTTCTTGCCACCATGTTGCGCACTCTATCTCTCTCTCTCTCTCTCACACCCACCCACAAACACACATATATATATATATATATACAAATATATATCATCATGCGCATGATTGCCTCCTGCATTGCCATCGCCATCATGCCGCGCGATTCGCCACCTGCCGCCACCTGATCAGCCACCACACGCCTCAGCGCCGAAGATTGCACCTCGGAGCAGTTCTTCTGCGACGACTCCTGCTTTGATCGCTCCATACGCTGCAACGGCATTTCCGACTGCACAGATCATAGCGATGAGCACGGTTGCCATCCGTCGTATGGCGGCGCCGGCCATCCCCATAACCCACGTCATCCATCGTACCCCCATCTGCCTTGTCCACAGCACACGTGCCCCAGTGGCAGGTGCTACACCGAAACCGAACGCTGCGACGGCCGACATCATTGCGAGGATGGTGCCGACGAGGCGAAGTGTAAGTTCAACTCTCATCTAATCCCTAAGTGTCGTGCATTGCACCGCCCATTTGATCGGCATGCATGGGTATGTATGAATTGAAGGAGGTGATGGGAAGATCTATATATAACACTTGTACGTATCCAGGCTCTAAATTTCTAAATCAAGCTCAAGGGCAGGGCTCCCTAGGAGCATTCAGTTTTTCAATATCATTTCAGAAGAGCAGAAAGTTCATTTAGAGTTAGCTGGTTCACAAGATATGTATTCATGATTCAGATAGGAGTTATGTCCTAAATTTAATGATAGGTGTTCTTGTTTTGTATGAGTTGAAGGAGGTGATGGGAAGATCTGTGTATACTCGCATTGTGTTTGGTATAACACTTGTACGGATCCAAAGAATATCTATAAATCAAGCTCCGTATTCAGTTTTTCAATATCATTTCAGAAGAGTAGAAATTCATGATTCAGATAGCAGCTACATCGTAAATTTAATGATAGATATACGTCTTTTCTCATTTTTGTATATCTGCAATATAGGATATAGGATAGTCCTGAGAACATCAATTTTATTTAATGTATGAAGAAGTGCTGTAGGTTTTAGTTGAAATAGATATTTCGAACTACCATGAATACAAAGAAAAAAAAGAACAAAACACTAAGAAGTAGTTGGTTTAGAATACAATTAGTACAGACTAATAATAATTAGTAATGCACAGTATTTTTAGACGGGTTTTAGTTTTATTTTCGACTTGCGACAGCACCGGCACTTAACTCAACTTGATTTTCTCTGCAGTAAATTAATGTAATAATGTGTTTCGTTGCCTTAGTTGCTGAACACTCTCTCCCACTGTACTCGTACTGGTATCTCTCTATTCACACTTAATGCAATAAGTCTATGTATACGTAAATGTCTCACGCTCTCTATTTTTATCTCTTTCATTTGTTTTTATCGATTTTTTTCGCTTATTTTGTGAACATCTTCTTTGAATGATTGCACTACTTGAACAAATGCGATTAATGCCAGGCACTGAATGCAAGGATAACGAATTTTTATGTTACGATCGCCAGTTCTGCATAAATGCAACTCAGCACTGTGATGGCTTCTACGACTGCAAAGACTTTTCAGATGAACAGAATTGTATTGGTTAATAAGCAAACTTACTTTGGTTTTTCTATAGTTGAGTTCTAGTTGCCATTCTAGCTTCCATATGCAATGTAAAAAGTTACTTTTCCCATTCCCGCCTACCAAACGTACTCGTTGTTAGTTGAGTTGCCTTCCATTCACACAGCATGAGTGATCCATGTACACACAAATATCCTCAACTCAAGCCTATGATAATCCTAAGCTCATCCCACACTATCCTCACAATCCAATCTGAGTTAAATATATGTATTTGCACTCTTTAGACTTACTATAATTACTTTCGTCTTACTTTTAAATTAGTTTAAGCGATTTTCTCGATTCTACTCGTATACTATATATTGTATTCGTCCTCTACCCCCTTCGTCCTTTAGTTAGCTGTAGCTTCAGCAAATCTCTTACAGCCAATTCGTCGTAGTGCAGCGCCCACTGGCCATGTCAGACAGTCTCTAATTGCAAATCTTTCCATCCACAGGCTGCGGGGAGAATCAATTCCGTTGCCGCAACGGTGACTGCGTGGTGGGCTCTGCCTACTGTGATGGCCAGATACAGTGCCTCGACCATTCCGACGAGGCCGACTGCACCGAATGCGCACCTTACCAATTCCGCTGTACCAACGGCCAGTGCATTAGCAATTCGGCTTATTGCGACGGTCGCACAGACTGCCAGGATAGCTCGGATGAGCAAAACTGTCGTAAGTATCCGGGGGCGGGCTGGCCAGCTGGGGCTGGGGCCAACAAATCAGCTAAGGCTCAAACACGCATATACACGAACACATAGCACACATATCATAAGCAAACATTCCAATATTCAAACTCATTCGAAAACTCGAACATACATACGTCGAAAGGTCATCCAGCGCCCGCAACCTCAACGAGCACTGCGAGCAGCACTAGCTCGAGTATAGCTGCCACGACCCCCGCGAGCACCACGATGATGCCATTGCGCATCATCTGCCCTTCGAGCACGTTCCGGTGCGAGAACGGACCCTGTATAGCGATGGGCCTTCGCTGCAATGGTGTGGTTGACTGTCCGTACGATATCAGCGACGAGGTAGACTGCGGGCCCATCAGCAACGAGATCGACAGTAAGTCGGACACCCAAGCCACCTACCACGCACCAGTACCTGTATTTGATAGAGAGCGCTCCAACTACTACCAGCACCCCCACTACTAGTTACCCAAAAAGTATTGTAGATATGTACTAAACAGGATGATGGGAGAGATCGGTGTTCGGTTCGGGATCACATCTCATACGTTGCCATGTCCATTGACTCGGCTTCTTTTCCCTTGTCACGTTCTACGACTAATGCCACATGTTGCTACCCTTTCAGGTTCTCCCTCGGCTGGAAGCGATCCTCAACTGAATCTCAAGACCTATCCCGATTCCCAAACCATCAAAGAAAGTAAGTATCACAACGAGTTCTCACAAATCAATACAAATATACAAAACTCGTTTCACGTGCTATCCAAAACAAAACAAAACAAAACAAAAAAACAAACAAAAACTAAAATATCAAATGCAAATTGCAAATCTTTGTACTTTCTACCTTTACCTTCGTCTAATGCTTAACCCGAACAAATGCTATACCCTATAAATAAAATACAAAAATACCTGCAGGATATATTAGGGAGGGTAAGTTGGCCTAACTATGCAACTATCGCACACAAACACACACCACACGTCTATATAAAATACTATTCACTATACTACAAGTATGTGTATATGAACTGAACCAACAATCAAGTAGCTGCATTGTAGCAGAACAACATTGCACCCGAATTGGCTGGATACTATACTTGTATTGTAAAATAGGTCAAAATTTTGTTCTTAACACACGCCTGCTAGCGAACCTCAAACCCCCTATGTTAGCGTCCCCATAAATCGTCCACAGCCATAGTGGGCCAGAATTTGGTAAAAATGGCACATTATTAGATTTGCAATGAAGAGATTATTTTCCAAATGCTTACTATTATAATAAACGAGTTTCCAGATTGTCTTTTCAAGGGTGCGACTGTCTTGAGCACTTCAACCATCTGAATACCTAAATATTCAACTCTATTCTGTGATAATCGATTATTATTTTGGTTCCCGAAAGAAAACACAACTACGATTTCTAACATCAAATGATTAAGCCTGAAAATAATCCATCAAGCAGACAGCCATTTATACCCTGTACTGGTCCACTCTGTACTGATTGTAAAAATTACAACAACAAAAAACCTGCCCGAAATTGCTTGTCTCTTGCGTCAAGTTAGTCAAAACAATGTGCTAACTACTTCCCAATCGTTCAGGACGCGAGGTAATCTTCCGCTGTCGCGACGAAGGTCCATTGCGCGCCAAAGTCAAGTGGTCGCGACCTGGAGGTCGGCCCCTGCCCGCCGGTTTCGTCGATAGAAACGGACGCTTGGAAATACCAAATATTCGTGTAAGTATGAAATAAACAAGAGCTTAGCAATACGTAACTTTATGCTAAGCATGTGCCTCGATTCTAGGTGGAGGACTCTGGAACTTATGTGTGCGAGGCCATTGGATACCCACGACACGTGGCCGGTCAACAAGTGACCGTGCAGCTGAATGTTGAACGTTGTAAGTATGCTCGCCGAGGGGGAAGGGGTCGGTTATGTTTTTAAATTGTTGTATGCTTCCACTTGGCTGCAGCCTGGGGCGAGCACAAGTACGAGGAATTTAAGTCTGGTCGCATCAAATATGGTACTGTGCCACACATAGACCTCGAATTCTTCGGTCTAGGTAGGCGCGCTTCAAATATCTATCTATATGCAGAACTATCCCAAACTAATCCTTTTTTTTATCCCAAACAATCGCTGCCTAACTGGCGCATGGTAATACAAGTTATTGTCTATCAAAGCGTACCTAAGAGTTTTCTAACAACCTCCTCATTCTCTCTAAATTTCCTATAATTAATGCAGACAATGACCTGGAATATATGCGCCCACCTACAGCTTGTAGTCAGTACCAAGCAACCTGCATGAGTGGCGACTGTATAGACAAGTCGCACATTTGTGACGGCATTCCGCACTGCGCGGATGGTTCCGATGAGCATAGCTGTAGCCACGGCCGGAAATGCCAGCCCAACCAGTTCATGTGTAGCAACAGTAAGTGCGTGGAGCGTACCTGGCGCTGCGATGGTGAGAACGATTGCGGAGATAACTCAGATGAAGAATCCTGCGACGTGGAGCCCAGTGGTGCACCTTGCCGCTACAACGAGTTCCAGTGCCGCAGTGGCCACTGCATTCCTAAGGGCTTCCAATGCGACGATCTACCGGACTGTTCAGATGGAAGTGACGAAATAGGCTGCAGTGAGTTTCTTATTCATTTCACACTCTCTTCACGTTGCGTATAACCATCACTTGCCGTTCCGCTTTGCAGTGGAGCCCGTGCCAATACGTCCACCACCGCCAGGAATGGCTCTGTTCGAAGGCCAGGCATTAAATCTCACCTGTGTGGCCACAGGCACTCCTGTTCCTACAATTGTCTGGCGTCTTAACTGGGGACACGTTCCCGATAAATGTACCGCAAAGAGCTACGGCGGCACCGGCACCCTCTACTGCCCTAACATGCTATACCAGGACAGCGGCGCTTACTCCTGCGAGATTATTAACACGCGTGGTACTCACTTCGTCACTCCAGACACTATCGTCAAGGTGACGGCCGATCGCAACGACTACTGCCCAGCCGGTTTCTTCAACATGCTGGCTCGCTCCAGAGATGATTGCATTAAGTGCTTCTGCTTTGGTGTAGCGAGCACTTGCGATAGCGCAAACCTCTTTACTTATGCGATCCAACCACCAATTATGTCACAACGTGTCGTCAACGTCGAGCTGAGCCCTTACACTCCGATCGTTATTAACGAAGCGCCCTCGAACAGCATTTTCAATCTGCACCATGGCGTTCAGTTCCGTGCCTCAGACGTACAGTATGGTGCTACCGAGACGCCCTACCTGGCACTACCCTCCGAGTACATGGGCAACCAGCTTAAGTCTTATGGCGGTAGTCTGAAGTACGAGGTCAACTACATAGGGCAAGGCAATCAAATCAATGCACCCGATGTAATCATCACTGGCAACAGCTTCACCTTAACCCACCGCGTACGCCCTCAGCCACAGCCGAACTTGGCCAACAAGATCAGCGTACAGTTTTTGCCAGGAAACTGGTTCAAGCCGGACGGTCGCAAGGCAACACGCGAAGAAATCATGATGATATTGGCCAATGTAGACAACATACTTATCCGATTGGGCTACATAGATACCACTGAGCGTGAGGTAACGCTCACAAGCATCGTGATGGACTCCGCGGGCACAGCGGACCAGGGTCTAGGATCAGCCTCGCTCGTCGAAAAGTGTAACTGCCCACGAGGCTACATTGGCGATTCTTGTGAGAGTTGCGCCCCAGGATTTGTGCGACAGCCAGGTGGTCCTTGGCTCGGTCACTGCGTGCCGTACACTCCCAAGCCTTGCCCTGTTGGCACGTACGGTGATGCCCGCCGTGGTGAGCATTGCCGTGAATGCCCATGTCCCCAGACCGGGAACAACAATTTCGCTAATGGCTGCCAGTTGAGCCCCGATGGAGATGTCATCTGCAACTGCTACGAAGGCTACACTGGACGCCGCTGTGAAAGCTGCGCCGCTGGCTACCAAGGCAATCCATTAGCACCGGGTGGCAGCTGTCATAGAACACCAGAGTCCTCTTGCAATGCTGATGGAACCTACAGCGCCTATGCCAACGGCACCTGCAAGTGCAAATCACTCGTAACTGGCGCCCACTGCGACACTTGTGCCCCCAAATCATTCCATCTTAATCACTACACTGAAACGGGATGCTTTGAGTGTTTCTGCGGTGGCTTGCAGGTTGAGTGTGGCAGCACGTCGTGGTATCGCGACCAAGTCGTCTCGAGCTTTGGTCGAACACGCGCACCCCATGGCTTTAACCTTGTCCGCGACTACACCAATCCCGTGGATTTGCCATTTGTAACCTCAGCCAACGACATCAGCTTCAGTGAGATCTCAGAGCCCAGCTCAGAGACGCTGTACTGGAGCTTGCCTGCTTCGTTCCTGGGTAACAAACTTACCGCTTATGGCGGCAGGCTTAACTATACTATAAGCTACAGTCCACTGCCCGGCGGTCAGCTGTCTCGCAACAATGCGCCCGATGTAGTTATCAAAAGCAATGAAGATCTAGTTCTTTTCCACTATCGCAAGTCCCACGTTAGTCCAAGCACTTCCACTTCCTATGCTGTATCAATCATCGAAAGCGCATGGCAACGATCTGATGGTCAATTGGCAGACCGGAAGCACCTGCTCATGGCCCTAAGCCACATTGCCGGCATCTTTATCAAAGCCACGTACACCACCAGCACCAAGGAAGGTACACTTAAGCAAGCCGTTCTAGACATCGCCACATCAACAAATCTAGGCTCCCAACGCGCCTATGAGGTAGAGGAATGCCGTTGCCCTGAGGGCTATATCGGTTTGTCCTGCGAACGCTGTGCACCTGGATACAAGCGTAGTGAGGGCGGCCACTATCTGGGACTGTGTGAGAAATGTGAATGCAATGGTCACTCCTCGCAATGCGATGCTGAGACCGGAGTCTGTCTTGTGAGTATAACCTCATTTTGTTAATCTTATTTGCTAGGCTTATACAATCTATTGGACTGCTTTTAGGACTGCGACCACAACACTGAAGGTGAAAGCTGCGAGCGCTGTGCCGCTGGCTATATCGGTGAGGCGTCCAATGGCTCACCATATGACTGCCAACCGGACTATGAACAAAGACCAGAACCACCACAGCCAGATCCAGGCAACCAGACCACGTGCGCCTATTGTAACAGAGATGGTACGGACAGTTGTGAACAAGACTACTGCTATTGCAAGCAAAACGTGCAGGGTAGATACTGTGATCAGTGCAGACCCGGCACGTATGGCCTCTCATCTGGCAATCCCGACGGCTGTGAGGTGTGCTATTGTTCTGGCCAGTCAACACAGTGCCGTTCTGCCTCATTATACCGCACACTTATACCCGTGGACTTTATTACCAGTCCGCCAATCATTACGGATGAGGACGGTCAGTCCTATGGCGATGATAATCTAAACTTTACCTTAGCTACGAACGAATATGTCTACTCGTATCCCACTTACTCCCCCAAATACTGGAGTCTTCGTGGCTCCGTGCTCGGCAACCAGTTGCGCTCGTACGGTGGTCATCTCCAGTATATTTTGGAGGTGCAGACCTCCGGTCACTACCAACCCGGCATTGATGTGGTGCTCATTGGCAATGGACTGAAGCTACTGTGGTCTCGCCCCAACAACGAGGCCGATAGCATTGACTACACAGTACTGCTGCATGAGGATGGTGATTGGCAGCGAAAGGACTTCGGACGCGTCGTTCCTGCCACACGCAGTGACTTCATGAGCGTGCTGAGCAACCTGGAGCATATCCTGATACGCGCCACCCCCCAAATACCCACCCTACGCACGGCCATACGTGACGTTATTCTCGAAACAGCGGTTGAACAGCCCAGTCCAGACGCTCGTCAAGCCATCGAAATCGAGTTGTGCCAGTGCCCATCCAGCTACACCGGCAACTCCTGCGAGAACTGCGCTCCACTACACTACCGAGACGAAAGCAACAATTGCCGGGCCTGCCCTTGCCAGGAGTCAACGAGCAACAGCTGCGCATTGAGCAGCAGTGGCTTTGTCGAATGCCAATGCAAGCCCCGCTACACTGGCGACCGTTGCCAGCTATTCGGTGAGTACGGATAGTTAGATGATAGCAATGCCAGAGATTATCCTTAAAACTGACACTGACTCAGCATTTGGCCTAACTAAGGCCGAGATCTGGCTGAATACATTGGTCATATCTTCACCTGCCAGCCCATCCAAGTCTATTACCACACCTATAGTTTCTAGCTCCATCCACCCACCTCTCCAAACTTACTTTAAGTTAGCCTCCTCTCTATTTGCGAGATCATTTTATTTATATACTTTTTTATAACTTTATTTCTTATTTTACACACCTCCCTGCTCATCCCGGAACTGCAATCAATTATCTAATTATGAACAACGAACAAAATTAAACAACAACAAAAACATACATACAAAACATCCACTCCATCCACATTCTAGATAGATCTCTCATTCTCGAAGAACCGCCTAAGATATACGATATAAGCAGGGGATTCTGTTGCAATGGCTTTCATTTTGATATTGAGCCCAACGAGACAATATCGTATAATGACACCCTGATGATTAAAAAAGACAACAGAATCATAGGAAATATTACGAAACTGCCCCACGGCTGCCACGTGCGAGGTTCGCTGCCAGACAATCAATCAATCAATCAATCAAACTACAACTACTGATTTCTTATACTGTTATACTACTATCAGCTGTCTTATCATGCTCGTACACTCAACAAAACACAAAACCAAAAAACAAATTCTAGAAGCACACATCTTTGTATACACTTAGCAAAATACTTAACGTTAGCTCTTTTTGTGCTCTAAAACCAAAGTACAATGTGAGAAATTTCCAAATGTTTCATATTGGGTTAGCATCTACTACTTTATTCGTGCTACCTTATCGTTTACTACTGCCGCTCTCTCCACTATATGCTCCTCATATCTGTAGTATTTATGTGTAAAAAAAAAACAACAACAATTCTATTTGCGTCCATTTGTTCATTTGTAGTATTTGTTATTGAATGGCTGGAACGGATGCTAAGTGATGGATAATCAAATCATTCTCCATTCTTATATATAATAATTATATAAGTATATAAAAATTTGTGAGCTTCTGAGTGGAATTTAAAAAGTCCAGAGAGTCAAAGCTTCAGCTCAGTTCCGGAATCAGTTGTAGACCAAAACAGAAGATTTTAACTTACTCTACATAGCAGTCTGAACAAGATCTTCATTAATGTTTGTTTTAACAAATTGGTTTAATTTAATGGAAATGTCTCTCCCAACTATGTATTATCTAAAAGGATCAAAAACCAAAATTATTATTTAGGTAGATACAAATATATCATTCGTATATCATCCGTTCCAGCCTTGAAGAATGTGTAGTAGACTGACACAGCTTAGAGGACATTTGGGTGTCCTGCTAAGCCAAATGTATCCGTGGCCTAGCGTTATGTGTTTTATGTTCAAGTATTATACTATTCCAACTACCATTTGTGTTGAAGTAGCTTGTTTATGTGTTTACATATATGTTTTATCTGGGACGAAACTGTTGTATATATGCGTCACTATGGAAAACTAGCGCGAAGAGTTTATGAAGCTGACCTCAGTACTAAACCCCTGCAACTTTCTCAACTAGTTTAAAGTAGTACTAACACAACATACTTGTAGACTACTCGGCATTTCTGCGCAAAGTGTTGCTCATTATTGCGATGATTCCTGCCTCCCGCCGACTCTGCCTATAACATATCTTACTCTGTCAACTGATGCATCAAGTAGTGACGTGGTCACTAAAACTCCAGCCAGGCGCTCCTCTGTTCCCCTTCCCCTGACAATCGGTAGTTTGTTGTTAAGTGTTATTTAATCGCAGAAAAACTATGTCACTAATCCACCTGTCAATGGAATCTGCCTGAACTACTTCGAATCTCTCTCTAATGTCAACTTATTTCGTTTAACGCTGTCACTGTCTCTACAGACAATGGCCAGATACAGCCACCAACTACGGAGCCACCAGAAGATCCCCGCACAAGGATCACAGTTTCTATAGCTAAGCCAGAGATAACCATTGTACCGGTAGGCGGATCGCTGACGCTCAGCTGTACAGGCCGCTTGGCTTGGAACAATGTGAGTGTGGGGTCTAGTCGAATATGTCCAGTTATGCTTAAGGATACTTTTCTCTTCCCTTAGCGCCCTGTGGTGGTCAACTGGTACAAGGACAACAGCGCCCTGCCTGTGGATACGGAAATCGATGGAGGCACAATACACCTCCACAATCTGCAGATTGCAGACTCGGGCATCTACATCTGCCAGGCCATAAGCGAAGATACATCACGCGTCGCCGAGGACAAGGTGTCCATCACAATAACAGGTTAGTTCGACTACCGAGGTAGACCCTATGCCCTTAGACTACTTACTTATTTACCTTAACTTAAATGCGGCTTTCACTGAAGGATATGCCAAGGAAATGTTGGCTCGCTATGGTAGCTATTGCCTACTGCTGATTAACTTCTTCCACACGATAAAAATCTTCATACCCTTTCCTTAATCATCATTGCAGAGAGTTCTCAACGTGCGCCCGCCGAGATTACAAGGTTGCCAAGCTACGTTACCTTTGAGGAGTACCAACCCAACGAAATAGTGTGCGAGGTTAGGGGTAACCCCACCCCTGTTGTTACCTGGACACGTGTTGAGGGTCAGGTCGATGGACACACGCGCACAGACGGCACGCGTCTCATCTTCGACTCCCCCCGTAAGTCAGATGAGGGAAGCTACAGATGCCGCGCCCAAAACAGCCTCAACAGTGATGAGAAATACGTGCAGCTCTACGTTCGTGCCAATCAGCCACCACAGCCGCCACAACGCGAACGCGTCTATGTGGAGCCGGAGTCCTACAACGGCGAGACTGGCGAGAGTGTGCGCCTTATGTGCCAATCCACGGGCGGCGCCCAATTGCAGTACGACTGGCGGCACGACGGTTACCCAGTGACTCATCAGTACAACGTCATCGTCAGTGGCAACACGCTGGAGATTCGCGATGCAACTATTCGCGACTCGGGCACCTACACGTGTGTAGGCTATGATTCGCGCAACCGACGCAACTACACCGGCGATGCGCAGGTGATCATTGAAGAGCGCCAAATACCACCCATTTCGGACAGGTAAGCGAGCTTCCTGTGGTACTGGACCGGTTTTCTAACCACTGAGTGATTTAATTGCTTTTAGCATTCGGCCTAAAATATCGCGTCTGCCTGAGCAGAGCCTGGTAGACCAGGGCCATGACTTCATGCTCACGTGCGAAGCCAGTGGCACTCCACATCCCACTGTCAAGTGGACTAAGGTGCACGATCGGTTGGCCGACAATGTCCACCAAAGCGGCAACGTGCTGCGCATTATGAACGCGAACAGCGAGAACCGCGGAGTGTATCTCTGCATTGCTGAGAACATACACGGATCTGATCAAGCCAGCACTTATATCGAGATTGAAGGTATGTAGGCAGATTAGTTTCGAAGAAATACAATAAAAACCACTTACAACATCCAATGGAAAATGGCACACAACTGCAACAAGTCTATAAGGAAGCTAACATCAGATTTTGCTCTACTCTCTCTCTCTCTATTCTTAACTTTGTCAATTTCTTTCGTTACTCTCCATTATTGCCATTTAATCAAATAACTAATAAATTTCTTATGCAAGTGCACAAGAATGGAGTCGGTAATAAGACAGTTCCGAACAGTATGATCCTAATACTAATCTGTTCCACCACCATAATTTGCTTGCTTGCAGCTCGGGAGGCGCCGAGCGTTGAAATCGAGCCGAAAGCGCCGCAAACGCACCAAGTCGGCGCCCAGGGTATGCTCTACTGTCGCAGCAATGGCATACCGGAGCCGACGGTGCAGTGGCGCCGCGTCGATGGCCTGCCGCTCTCGCCACGACACAAGGAGCTCGCCCCTGGCTATATACTGTAAGCTTTCTAGACTCGCCCGTCCACAAACTATTCGTAAGCATTATTAACTTTTTCTACACATTCATTTACAGCATTAACGATATACAAATTGCCGATGCCGGCGTATATGAATGCCAAGCTGAAAATACCGTTGGACGTGCCACAGGTAGAACTACAGTGAACGTAATCGAGATTCCTCAGATCACAATCGAGCCCAACGAGTCCCTGTATCGCGTTACTGAAGGGGACGAGGTTCGTGTGACTTGCATCGCGAGCGGCTATCCCAACCCCAGTGTGCATTGGGACATTGGTCAGCCGGAAGCGTTAAGTAGCGGCCAAAACACGGCCTACCTCAACATATATCGCGTCTCGCAGTCCGATTCCAGGGTATACACATGCACGGCCGTCAACGAGGCTGGTACTGATCAGGCACAGATTACCATTGATGTTCAACCAAAGCGCGGCGATATCGGAGACTGTAAGTGCCTGCGAGTCAGCTTTGCTTTGCTTCATTGCTAACATTGTTCCTCTCGATTTCTCAGTTGACGGAGATGTAGAGCGGGAGCCCGACCGCCAAATATACCATCCACAGCGTCCACAGGACATATGGCAGTACCCAGCTAACATTGGAGACACTGTACAGCTGACGTGCGACCTGACCGGCCCTCAAGGCCTCACTTCAAAGTGGGAGCGCGGCGACGGTCAGCAACTGCCCGCGAATGCACGTATCGATCATAATACATTGATCATCGACTCCGTTGAAGAGCAGAACTTTGGCCAGTATCGATGCAACGGCTATGATGACCGCGGCATACTCGTCGCCTATGTAGTGCGCGACTTGAGGCTAATCCCACTGCCACGCATCACCTTCCATCCAAACATACCATTGGTTGTGGAGGCCAACAAGGACGTACAGATCTACTGCGAAGTGACAAACGCTCACCCAGAGAATGTGCATTGGACCGCGGACAACAATCGTCCACTGCCTAGGTATGCCTCATGCTTACGTTTACGCCGCTTATCGTTTGCTTATGTCCCCCCAATGCCATTCATCATTCACAGCTCCGTCATTATCGATAACCAGTATCTACGGTTCACATCCATTACACCGGCCGACGCGGGCGTCTATCGCTGCACGGCCTCCAACGAGTACGGCAATACATCGAAGAACGCCCAAGTGGTGGTCAAACCGCCCTCCTCCTACCATCCACTCCCACAAGCGGAGCAGCAGATCCAACATGAGGGAGACAACATTAATCTGAAGTGTGACACGCAGCGCAGCGAGCTGCAATCCAACATCAGGGTAAGTCCCCAAGCACGCCCCAGGCTTCAAAAGCATCAAGCTGCTACAAGTAGAATTATATACAGGTGAAATGGTATCGTGAGGATCGACGTCCACTGCCACCGGGCTCCATTATCACGGACGATGTGCTCCACCTGCGCTACCTGAGTGCACAGGATGCTGGTCGCTACATATGCGACTCGTACGATGTAAGGAGCGGCCAGAGTCTGCCGCCGTCCTCCGTCGACTTGGTTGTACTGCGTGAGTAATTCCATAGGTTATGTCAGCTCTGGTCAAGTCAAGTCAGGACAGGTCAGGTGCGGTCAGCAGCAGCAATATCTCTTATATATCTCCCCCCTCTCACTCATAATATTACTGTAAATGTAACCGAAACTGAAAGCTGAATTTTAACCCGAAAACCGAAAAGCAAAAACCCGAAATTGAAACACAGAAACGAAAAATCAAAGGATAATGATAAGGATAAGGATGAGCAATTTGATAGGCTTTGTTGGCAATGCTATTGAGCAGATTTCAATTGATGCTTTGTTTGCTCGCTGATTTTACTTATTACTTTATATCGATCTATCTATCTATCTATCAATCAGTCTATATATGTGTATATAAGTATATATCAGTTTATACCCACATATATATATTTATATAAATATATATGGCCACCATTTAACATACACACATACACATACACACCTACACACACTGAGACACCTGTGCGCCGATAAATGTTCAAGATACAAGTACTAGCAATGCTAGCGATTACTACACTATGTAAATATGCAACAAATCGAACCAATTGTATCTATCTTATACATATGTCTATATAATACCTGTACTCTACATTAATACTAGTACATCCGGGGCACAAAAATGGTCAAAGGTTAATTGTGTATCTAAACAAAAACAACCAAAAACAAAAACAAAAACAAATTGTCACACTGTTGTTGTACATATGTACCTACTTATAAAAAGAGCCACGAAAAACTAACAAATTGTAAGCAAACAACTATAACAGAAATCCGATAACATTTGTCATTAAAATTATACAACACTGTTTACAATATGCCTAACGAATATCTGATAAATATATAACCCCGACCCCCCTCCTCATCCACCAACTCCAACAAACTGTAACCGATTGCACTGCGAACTGGTGATGGTGACGAAAGAGTCAAGACTTTTGAAACCATCTCCAAAGCAGGTGGCAAAATCGAAAAAGGATAGAAATTAAAGAAGCAGACAAGTTGTAACTCACCCTGTACAGTCGCGCCAAGCAACGCCTCAGCTCACAGCTAACGGTCCCAATGCATGCCTTCCTACCCCTCTAAATCCCACACCAACAACCAATATCACAGCCACAGCCACAGCTGCCTTGCAAAATCCGGCTAGAAATTGTCGATGCCTTTGAAATTGTAAACATAAGTTTAAAACCATCATTTGTTTTACTTTCTTGCCAATATATAGTACATATATATATATATATATATACATATATATATGATATATATATATATATATATATATATATATATATATATATATATATATATATATACAAGTATACACATATTTCTTTACAACACAATTTACTTTTTAAATTTTAAGCTTACAAATGGCTGCCATGCTAATAACATACATCTTAAGTCCAAGCAAAACCCACTAAATAAAAATAAAACAAACAAAAAACTATTAACAAACATTTTACACACAAAAATGTTCAAAACCAAACTGTAACATATTCTTTTATTTTATAACCTCCTTATTAACATCTCCGTTTTTGGCTCCAAATTTATTTTTATTTTGTGCCTTCTCGATTTATGGTTATGGGTGTTGAATGATTTCCCATTTTCGAGGATTACGTTAATGGTGGCGGTCTTATGATTTTCTGAGTGTGTGTGTGTTTATTTATTTATTTTTTTTTTGGATTATGGTCTGCTTGGTTCGTTTTCTAAATATCGGAATGGTTTTTTTGTCGCCGTTTTTTTTTTTGTTTTCATCCAATACTCTATATGTTTAACTTTGTTTGTGTTTTTGTGTTTGTACTTTATTTTAATAAATGTATTTATAAATAAATGTTCCAAAAAGCAATAAAATGCACACTGCACTCGTCACCACCCCAACCCACCCTACTACCCCTAAAAAAGAAAACCCACTCCTTCCACTCGCTCTTTCTCTCTCTATCTGTATCTCTGTCTGACGCACGGCCCCTGGAAGATGATGCACTGAGAATAACTGGTTAATCAGATGATAATATGAGAGTGTCTCGTTAGATCTTTTGTAATTAATTGAGATGTTAATACCAATACCAAATACCTGAATCATATTTGGAATGAGATAAAATCAGAATGAGGATTCATTGATTGACAACAAACCTAGAAATATATAGAACAGTGAATTGAAGCGGCAGGATAGAGTTTGAAAGTCAATCAAGTGGAGAAGAAGGAAGCTAAAAAGGGGGTAGCCCGCCTGGATGTCCACAATCGTGTTCACCTTGTTAGCTACAAGTACATGAGCAATTATAGAGTACGATTCAAAACTATACAAGTACAGTTTGATGAAAAAGTAAAGTGGCATCTCTTCGGAATTGTTGTGAATTCGTAAAATGGCTAGAAATGAACCCCAATCTGAATTGTTATTCCCACTTGTCGCTCGTCAAGCAGCTATCCTGTCGCTTTTATTGCTCCACCTCAAGAGTCAAGGGATGGGAAATATAGGCATACTATATACATATGCAGATCTGTTTTCTCTCTGGGATTACAGCAAAGGCCAACACAAGAAGAATTACTAGAGCAGCAGAAAACAGTCCCCATAACTGCTATACATATTAATTCCATAATTATTTTTTGTTCTCTCTCTTTCTTTCCTGCCTTTTTCTTCTTATCTCTTTATGTGCGCTTGTGCTAATTATGCCAACTCTTGTTTTATGTACTATATATATATATATATATATATATATAAATATATACATATATATCAAACATAAATCTTGCGTGCTTTTATAACGAAAAAACAAAAACAAAAAAACAAACAAATCAAAACAACAATCGACACACAAAACACAAACAATATCTCATCCATATATACATACATATCTAAATATAATATGCTATGCTACAATTGTGTGATTGCAAAACAAATAAACGACTGCAACAACCAACACCACCACCAACAACTACAACAACAACAACAACAACTACTACGTCAACCAATCAACGCATTCCACTCTCTAGCAAAAAAACCCAAGTTCAATATTTTTAAGGGGAAGCACAGCGTTAATGAATTGCCTTGCATGGTTTTCTATATATGTGCAGGTGTGTTACCACAAAATAATCAAATTTGAAATTAATTTTCAGCGTATATGAGTATTTTTTTGTATACATACTACTATATCTATATTGTAACATTTGGAGTACGTACTTATCATATTGTAATTTATAATGCCATAACTTTATATAAAACACAACAAAAAGAGAAAAAAAGAAAAAAGAAAAACACAAACCAAAAAACCAAATCTAATTATAAAACTTTGTATATAAAAACCGAAGAATGTCCGAAACTAAACGATAATTATTTGCCCACTAAACCAAAGACAAAATTCTAAGCGCACCCATGAGCACCACTCTTAGTACTAAGTAGTGGGGACTGCACAATGGCTTCTCACACAGCAACTCGAAATTTATTAAAAGCTCCTCCGCACTCGATTGGCCGCTCGTCCATATTTACACAAAAAAAAAAAACTGCTCACACATACATACATATGTATGTATATGCGTACATACCATATACTCGTACGTGTATATAGGTGTGTGTGTACTCGTATGCATTTAGTTAGGCTGGTAACGTTGGGCTCGAACCTGGTATCTGGACTTTGGAAACTAACCACTGTTTGATGCTGTGAGTGCGCCATTGCTAATCATTCTCTATACTATATATACTCCCTATAACAAAAACAAACGAAAAACAACAACAACAACAACAATATTGAACTGTATTATCACAACAACCCATACAAATTGCGGCCTGCTTCCCCATGCCACGCCCCCGCGCGGGCACAGACTTTAAGCCTAGCAAAACATTAGCAGCTAACAAGCCGCTGGCCACGCCACGCCCCCTCACGCCCTACACCTGCCAGCCGAGCGACTTCAAGTGCGTCTCGCACCCCCACACCTGCATCAAGGCCAATATGGTTTGTGACGGGATCCACGACTGCACCGACCACTCCGACGAGTTCAACTGCACACGCGACTATGCGCTGAAGAGCGGTGGCGGCGGGGAGATCGCCACCAAGGCAGTGGTCAGTAGTCCGACATCGGGTGCGGGCACGGGTCTGGGGAGCAGCGGTTTCAAGCGCTGGAAAAAGAGCCACAAGCAGAAGAGACATCACCTCTGGGAGCAACAGCTGAATGGGGAGCAGCGACTATTGCGCCTGCGGCAAAAGAAGCATCACTGGAAGCGCGTCCAACAGTTTTTACCACGCAAGAGTGAAGTTGTGCAGCTGGCCAGGAATGTCGGTTGGTTTTAAGTTTTCATTTCCTTCTTATTTTACGTGTCTATACTTTGTTTATCACCTTGTCTCTCACTCTTATATATTATCCACATAACCTGCACTCTGCTTCCTCATTTACAACAACACCAACATCTACACTTCCACCTCCATCCCCACCCCCACCCCCATCCCCATCCCGATCTCTAACAATCCCAGTACATCACTCACTCACTGTCTCCCTTTTTTCTCGCCGCCTATCGTCCAAGCCCTCCCTACCCCTCTGCTTAACCCTTGACATTTGCAACTCTGTTTTAGGCCCACATGTTTTAGCCCAATAAATGCACACTTCACTCACGTCTAATCCAAGCCAAGTTGAAACCACGACACGCAAAAGCAATTGAAACGAACCACAACGACTACAGTAAACAGCGCCAACCCGTCAGCTCACGCACTGCACTGCTCCAAAAACAAATTGAAATCAAATCAAATCGCATTTCGAAAAGGCCACCGCCAGTGAGGAGCGCGTTTCCGGCCCCGATTCCCCCCATGCACAATCGCTGCAATCAAGGTGCAGGATCTGCACGTTGTTGTGATAACACTGGTGGCTCGTAAGCTTTCGCTTTGGTAGCCAGTCCTAGTTTTTAAGACGATACGATAACTGTGATGACGATAACGATAGCGCTGGCGCTAGCCTACAACTATGCACCTTCGCAGTTTTGGGTTCTGGGCCACTCTTGGCTAAGTCTTAAACGCTTCAATCATGGTATACGACAATTTATTTGAATAATAATCAACTATATTGTACACACGCATCTTATAATGTACGATCCAATAATCATTTGCATGTGGTTGTGCTACTCTAGTATACTAACAAAGGCCTCGGTAGCCTCTCTCAACTGTGAACTGAACCAAATCTGGATTACAACCCAAACAATATAGCTGGTATATTCAGTCGCAGTTCTGAAGAGGGTCTTAGGCTATACACAAAATTTTGTAAATAATACCGCAAAGCGCTCGCTCATAATTTAAGAAATTCTGGATAATCCTATCGCCTCAATCATGTACAAATATTTACTGTTCATATTAATTGCCTATAGAAAAACTACACTATGTTTTTGTACGATCAATCGAAATTTGTAGTATTTGTACCCATCTGTGCTCAACAATAATAATTAGCAATACATGACGAATTGAAATTGGAAGTGGTAACCAATATTTGTATCTGTAATCGCATATATATATATATTAGTGATGTAGCATTGTCGATCCATCGATCGATGATCGATCGTAATGTTAGACAAATCAACCAAACAATCCATTTGTAACTCCATGTGTATTTGTATACTCGTATTCTTTTTCGTATCTGTGTGATTCGACCAGTAGTGAAAAGTATATAGTTGTTGTTAGTTCATCACCGCTCCCCCTAATTCCTATCTCTCTCTCTCTCTCTCTCTATAAATATATACGTGTATACATACTATATATTTATATTTATGTTTGTCTAACTAGGATTGAAAACATGAAATTAAAACTAAAATTTGTTCTGTATCAAGCGATAGGTGTGTAGTAGACAGACACAATGGCTGATTATCCATACGAGAATCAACACTGTTGTCTCCATCTATCACTTACCGTTTGATATGGAGCGCCCACTAGCTATATATCCGCCATTTTGTATTTTGCTAACTGTTATTTTCTCTTTATGTATCTTTTATTATCTTACTTTCATTGTCTCGTTAATTTCACACACACACAAACACTCTCACAAACACACCCACATATATACACGTACCATCCATTGAATCATTTGAATCAATTGTAAATTGTTGCTTCCGAACATCCCGACCGTCGTCGTTGTCGTCGTCTTCGTCGTCTTCGTCCTCGTCCTCGTCGTGGTTCCGGTCTTGGTTTCGGTCCTGGTCGTTTGCATATCTCCATGTTGCTTACTGTGTGTGTCCGCGTGTGCCAACTGCCTCTACCTCTGCCACTACTACTACCACCCGTTGCCCGTTGCGTAGCTGAAGTGGCGCCCACACCCCGCTACCCTTACCTGCCACCCCCGGCGGTCACCGCCGAGCCGGAGCCGCAAAGACCGCGCGACTACAGCCTGAAACTGGACCAGCAGTCATCGAATCTACAGGTCGGTGAATCCACCGAAGTCGAATGCTACTCCTCCGACAGCAGCTACACCGACGTCATTTGGGAGCGAGCCGATGGAGCACCCCTATCCGCCCACGTTCAGGTAACAAAGCTCCGGCTTCTTCACAGATTCAGTTTGAATTACCGTCTTAATTTGTCACAGCAAGTGAACAACCGCCTGGTATTCGCCGATGTGACAGCCGCCGATGCCGGAAACTATGTATGCAAGTGCAAAACTGACAACGGCGATCTCTACACCACCAGCTACGAGCTGACCGTAGAAGGAAGCCCACACGAGCTGAAACGCCCAAAAATCGTGCACGCAAAGGTAGGAGCCGATGCCCAGCTGCAATGCGGTGCCGATGAGAGCCGTAACCCTAGTCGACGCTGGTCTCGCCAGTACGGTCATATGCAATCGGGTCGCACCATTTTGAGCGTAAGTGATGAAGTCCAGAAGTCTCCAGCCATTTACCACAGAGTTGACGCCCTTTTTTAATGTCCACAGGAGACGCTGAAGCTCGAAGATGTGCAGGCCAATGATGCGGGCACCTACATTTGTACGGCAGTACACAATGATGGAGAGTCTATTGATTATCCCACGATTTTGGTGGTGACCGGAGCTATTCCGCACTTTCACCAAACACCGCTGAGCTACATGAGTTTCCCACCCCTTTCCGATTCCTCATTCAAGTTCAATTTCGAGATTACCTTCCGGCCCGAGGCGGCCGATGGGTTGCTCCTCTTCAATGGTCAAACCCGCGGCACTGGTGACTATATTGAGCTCTCGCTAAAAGACCGCGTTCCTGAGTTCAGTTTCAACTTCGACGGAAAGCCAATGCTTATTCGGGCCGAGAGGCCCGTGACCCTCAACGAATGGCATACAGTGCGTGTTCATCGCTCGCGCCGCGACGGCTACATGGAGGTGGATGATCAGCATCCAGTGGCCTTCCCCACACTGGCGCAGGTGCCTCCGCTCGATCTTATTGAGGACCTATACATTGGCGGCGTACCGAACCGGGATCTGATGCCCACAGGACATGTCCAGAAGTCCCCAGGCTTTGTGGGATGCATTAGCCGACTAACGCTACAGGGTCGCACCATTGAATTAATGAAGGACGCCAAGCTCAAGCAGGGTGTTACTAGCTGCAAGCCCTGTCTCCAAAATCCCTGCTCCAACGGTGGCATCTGTCTGGAGAGTCAGACGGAGTTGGCTTACACTTGCATCTGCCAGCAGGGATGGACGGGCCGCAATTGCGCCGTCGAAGGCACCCAATGCACACCCGGCATTTGCGGTGCCGGTCGCTGCGAGAACACCGATACCGGCACTGAGTGCCTATGTCCGCTAAATCGCACAGGCGATCGCTGCCAGTATATAGAGCATCTTAACGAGCACAGTCTGAACTTTAAGACGAACAGCTATGCGGCCTACAGGTAAGTGCAATTGTAATGCCAGAGTGAAGTGATTATCATGTTCCCCTTAATGTTCTTTTTACAGCACGCCACGTGCCTCGCGAATTAACATAACCCTATCAGTACGGCCAGCTAGTCTAAACGACGCTGTGCTGCTGTACGCTGCGGAGTCTAAGTTGCCAAGCGGGGACTTTTTGGCTCTGGTGCTGCGAGACGGCCACGTAGAGCTGATCATCAATACAGGAGCCCGTTTGAAGCCGGTGGTTGTGCGCTCCGCTAGTCCGCTGCCGTTGAACAGCTGGACCCGCATCGAGCTAGTACGTCGTCAGGGCGAGAGCATACTGCGAGTGGGCGATGAGCCCGAACAGCGGGCAAAGGCTTCGGGCGCCGCACGTGCCCTTTCCATCAAGACCTCACTGTATGTGGGCGGCTACGATCGCTCAACAGTGAAAGTTAACCGGGACGTGAATATCACGAATGGTTTCGATGGCTGCATTTCCAAGCTGCACGACTCTCAGCGTGCCATTCACCTGCTTGCCGATATTGTGGATGCTGCAAACGTACAAAACTGCGGCGAAATTAATGAAATCGGAAACAATGACAATTTCGACGGCGACAACGACGACGACACCGATGACGAAGAGCTGCCGGTTGCCCCACCCCATTTAGTATCTCCCACCCAGGGATTCGCAGACCACGAACCCATCATACAGCGGCCTTGCGAAAGCGAGCCCTGTGAGAACGGCGGCACTTGCAGCGAGCAAGGCAAAATAGCAGTGTGCTCATGTAAGGTCGGCTACGGTGGCAAGCACTGCGAAGAACGTAAGTGATTTAAGTTATACGAACTTTTTAAAGATGCCCCAACTCATGAGATTGAACGCGTTACTTCAACAGATATCGAAATCAACTACAATGCCTCGTTCCGCGGCAATGGCTACCTGGAGATCAATCGCAACCAGTTCGATGACTCCATTGAGCAGAGCTATACCTATGCGGCCGTTCTGTTCTCCACAACCAAGCCGAATGGCCTGCTTCTCTGGTGGGGTCAGCCAGCCGGTGAGGAATTCACAGGACAAGACTTTATTGCGTTAGCTGTTGTCGATGGCTACATCGAGTACTCAGTGCGTCTGGATGGCGAGGAGACGTTCATTCGCAATGTTGCAGGCCGCGTTGACGACGGCAAGCGGCATATCGTAATAATAAAGCGCACAGACAACACTGCCATGCTGGAGGTCGACCATGTCGTCGATGTGGGCGAGACACGGCCTACGGGCACGAAAGCCATGCGTCTGCCGGGCAATGTGTTCATCGGTAAGTCGGAGGCCCTCCTCCCTCGATCAGTCAAAAATGACTTGAATTCTAACCACTTCACCATTTTTTCTTCGTTCTATACCTTTTCAGGTGGCATACCCGACATCGCTCAGTTTACAGGACAACGATATAAGCACAACTTTAATGGCTGGGTGCATATGGTCGAGGGCGAAGCCGTGGGCCAAGTACGGCTGGGCAACACGGCTGTCAATGGCGCTAATGTCGACGCCTGTCCAGTGTAAGTTTTGGGTCGCGTCTAGCTTGCGCCTATGCGCTCTAATTCTTTATTGCCCCCTGCATGCGGCTCTCTCCGGATTAGTAATAACTGGTACCCTTCAAGCCTCGTCTATCATAAGTTCGATTTCGACGACTTTCGCTTCGATCCCACGTACTTCGACGAGCTCGATCAGCCACCGCCGGTGCACATTATGCATCGACAACCCGCCTTCAACACCATGTACCATAGTGTGGGATCGGGCGGGGATGGAAGCGGGAGTGGGGGCTTACTTTGTAGTGGGTGGACTTACGGGCTGTTTATAGCTCCCAGGGCTATAGCCGTGACACTAGCTGTTACATTTTTGCGACTACCCGCCCCAAGCTAAGACCATTCTGAGAGGGAGCAGTGGGTCCAAACTATCTGTGTGAAGAGGCAGATGCAAATGCAAATGCATGAGGCACTTAGTCGGTGCAAATAATGGTGCCATATCATTGCTAAATACCATGTTATATATTCAAGCTATATCAAAAACCGATACATATATACGAGTACATACATATATATATAGTCAATCTAAAAGCCAGTATGAGTGGAGAAAACTTCATTCGTTGTTCGTGAAGGGGCAGCCCCAGCTCCAAACTGTGCATGTTACGATATCTACCTTCACATAAGTATATATACTACTATATTAATTTTTTTTTTTGAGTAGTTAGCACGAAAAATATTGTTAAGCGGTGGTGACCATTCTTAGACTGGCAATCGAGTCTAGTCTGATATATTTAGTACATTAGCTAAGCATTAATGTTCAGATAGAGGGTGCCCAAGTGGTGGCTACCATAGAATATGAACGATTAACACGGTTGTCGCAACTGAAACTGGTTAGGTAAATAGATAGGGGGTAGTCAGGTAGATAGGATAGCAACGAGTTACGAATGAATTGTGCCGTTTCTCTAAGAGCCACGCGAATACGAATTGGATAGGAAGAGGGCGCAACTGATAGAAACATGAATGCCAAGCCAAAGCAGTTAAGACAGACTGCTGCGAAGTGGAGGCCCAGAAACTGTGGCAACCGTGACCCTGAACAATCTGTTCATGTCGGTAATACTTACGTACGAATTTTAAGAGTGTTTGCTAAGTTAAAAAGTTTAGAAGGTAAAGTACGTTCTCATCCCATAAATGTTTGCCTTCGAAAGGATATATTGGATGTCTCTCTCCCCATCTCTCGAAACAATGTACAAGTATTAGACTTACCTCAAAACAAACCACTTAGCGGGGAAGGCAACCACTTTAATCTACGATTAAGAGATTCCTCTTCACCACACCTCCTACCTGCCATTGCAATGGTAGATAATGGCGAGAGGGAATCTCATTAAGCGAATGAAATGAAAGGCATCAAAATACCCTTTTCAAATTTATGCGCAACTACGAGTATGTAAATGAAATATGTAAATTATTGGTTCGGCTTTTTAAAATGCTTTTACGAGAAAACAAAACCCAAAACCCTATACTACAAGTATCCATTGAAGTTCCTGCATTCAGCTGCTGCATATACCTACATACGAGTATAGTATATATGCAACCGATATCTATTAAACGTAAGTTGCACATTTCAAGAACACATCAACAAAAACCTAAAACACATCAGTGCTCCAAAGAGCGAGACAAAGTCTGAGATGCGGCTCAATGCTAGGAAAGAAATTTGAATGGACGACGAAGCACGATACTACAAGTAGATGTCAGAGACATGCAGCTCTGCTATAAAAGAGAATTTGTTGCTAGCTTTCAATGACTTATTTGCCCTTCATTCTATGTAAAAACATACATTTATTTATAATTATTGAAGCAATTATTTCTGCGTTCATTTTGATTTCCTTTTCATCTGATGAGATCTCGGACCTATTAACCTGTTCCTACTCCTCAAGTTCCTATTTCATTTCAGTCGTATCCAAAAACTTTTTTGCACTCTTCCTTAACTAAACGAAATAGAACGAATAAGATCCGTATATCTGTTTCGGGTTAGCTTAACCCGCCACAGCCCGAATTCAACAAAATTCGAATTAAAAACCGGACATTACTTTTTTGAACGAACAAAATAATAAGGATAGTGCTATTATTTTTTAATTACAAGTAATAAAAAATGATTTGTGAGGAAAAAAAACATAACAGTGCAGAAACTTACTTTGAAGTGTTGAACGTATTCTTCTGTGCGAATATTTTTGGACTAACTGTATGACAAATTTAAAATGAAGCAATATTTTCTGCTGGGAGTATGTCAATTCTAAAACTTAATTGGGGGCTTGGAGAAATAAAAAAAGAACCCTTATTGTATATAGAAAATCTGCAAAAGGATGAATGTGCCATTTAGAAAAACCAATTTGATTTTTTACACATTATTTGCTTAACCCTTTTGACCCTGAACAAAACCATAGGAATTCGTATAGTGCTTAATTTCGTATTTTATTTTTGCAGCACAGTGATCTCTTTTGTTGTGATTTATCTTATTTTATTATTGGTTTTTATCTTTGTTTCGTTTTCTCTTTTTTCCCCATTCAGTAACGACGAGAATCTCGGCGACCCCGAACCACAAGTCGTTTAAGATAGAAATACCCCAACCAACCCAGCCAGCGAAGCAATCGACCAACAAACAAAACAGCTAGCTTTTCAATTAAATAAACAGCAACTTTTTTTATACAAAAGTAATAAGTATAAAAACAACAGTTAATGAGAGAACTGCACGATTGCTTTTGTGTCGCAAGAAAACGAAAAAGCAAAAACAACAACTTATTTTTTCTCTTGTATTACTGCAATCGCTTCTGTTTATTATAATTATTATTCTTTTTTTTGTCATATTAAGTTAACATACTTATAAAGATACAAAACGCATGAATTTCTGTAATTTTAATTTAACAATCGATGCACAAAGCGAAAATCGTGAAACAAATAATATATTGTGTATAAGCAGAAGATGAGGAAGAGAAAAGAAAGAAGTGAAGGAAGAGGAGGAACTACTAACTCATAGATATTGCCATTTATATAAAAGAACAACGACAGATACTGGCCAGCAACAAAGCAACTAACTAATTTTTAGCTTTTAAACCCAAAAAAAAAACAAAAAAAAACACACAAAAACAAAAACATTTAGTTCGTTCTTTTGAAACCCAGTGGAAAGAATTGTTCTTGTTCCTTTTTGCGAATTCGAATCAATGTCACTTTTATTATTTTTTTACTGTAAATTTGTAAAATGAGAAATTAGCGGAAAAGAAGATTTAAAGCACTGCACACACACACACACACACACACACACATACACATACACACAAACACACACAAATATACAAATACACAAGCACTCATACATATTAATGATTAAATATTATAATTACTATAAAAACAAAACAAAAACATCAACAATGAGAAGAAACTAAAGAGGAAGCAACAACGTGTATAAAAACGAACGACAATGTTATGTGGATAATAAATAAAATTTAAAAATGAAACAAACACTGACACGTGCTTTACTGGGCGGTGGGAGTGTGGTTTCCATCTAGGAACCTCTAAGTAAGTGAATATTATTTCAATTTTCATTTTTATACCCTGTACCCGTAGGGTAAAAAGGGTATATTAGGTTTGTGCAAAGTATGTAACATGCAGAAGGAAGCATCTCCGACCCCATAAAGTATATATATTCTGAATCAGCATGACGAGAGAAATCGATCTAGACATGTCCGTCCGTCCGTCCGTCCGTCTGTCCGTCTGGATGAACGCGAGGATCTCAGAAACTATAAAAGCTAGAATAACCAAAGTTGGCATCCAGATTCTCCTAGGTCCGAGAAAGGACGAGTTTATTTTATTTTTTGGAATTTCCCCCCCCTTCCCCCGCTACAGAATTTCGTCAATAGCGTCCACATTTCAAATGCTACCTAAACCAAACTTTGCACACATAATTTATATATTATTGTCTACTGTTGTTCAAAATTATTAAATTATTATTAAATTATTAAAATTATTCAATTCGGTCAATTCTAAGAAAAGTTATTAGCGAAACAAATTCTCGACAGTACAACCCCCCCAAACTGCAGCAACAAGTTCGCTCTTCTTCTTCCTCTTTTTGCTGCTGCTACGGGCGCATATAACTCAGTGACGGAAGCTTACCTGGGTACAGGGTATTACACTGTCGGGCTTGCTCGACTGTAGCGTTCTCTCTTGTTTCACTTGAAAATACTTCAAGTCAGCGGTCAAGTCCAGTAATTAAAAAAAAAAAAATGTACAAATGGTACTGCCGTTTCCAACAAAAAATATGTTGTAGAGACATATGTATTTACTTGTATTTAGAGAGTATTTTTTAAGAGACGTATGCAACTTTCAATTTACATCAAGCTCATACATTAAACATTAAGCATATGACAGCTTCGATAATGTCTGAGAACCTGCAGGTTTTATTTTTCATCATTTTAGGTCATATGTTAGCTTTTAAAGCTAAACTCGATGTTTGCTTCTCTACAAATACCCCCTCGGAATATATTTCAGTAATCTCAACTTACTCTTGATCCGTCATCTAGTTAATGGCAATCAACTTCCACAATTTAGAAACGATGCTCATGCGTAAATCTTTATACTTGTAAGATGATTGGCCAAAGAATTTGATTCACACAATCAATTTGATTTTAAAAGAGAGCAAGAGAAGCAGGAATAGATGGTCAGTTAGACGGAAATGTCCAGATCAATTTGATGATTAGGAATATATTTCTATATGCTGTATGAGATTGGAGATTGCTCCTTCTGCCTGTTAGATGGCATTGAACATTTTGTATATATTTTATGAGGAAGCAGAAGCAACCACATGTACGAGAACCGTTTATATGTTTTAACATGATTCCAAAATAATACTTTTGCTTTAGTTCCTGCAGTCCAAACAAAATATTGTTTTTGCTTTCAAATGAAAAAAATAATATAGAAAGCTAAGCCAGTTAGTGCTGTATCCAACGGTTTACGTAAATTCTTCAATTAATTTACGATAGAAATAGAAATTGTATAATACATCAATAATATTGTGTCGGCAAAAATGTCATATGGTTAGCTAGAATTATCGCAATAACTATTAAGTGGCTGCATATTTTGAGCAAAATATATATAAATGAACTGTTAAAATGTCACACTAATACTATTAAATAACAGTTGGTCTTAAATGCCAGATGATGAGAGAGTTTTGAAGTTGCCCCCAGGAAGTGTTAGGGTTATCTTGAAATTGGCACGTGGTTTTATGTTTTGGGGGCTTGATGGCTCATAAATGATACCAGTTGCTATAAGTAATAAGAATAGCGACGATGTGAAGGGAAAAGAGAATATCACGTGACTTGTGTGCGGGGTGGGGTAGGGGGTGGTAGTATCCTCGAAGGCGATAAGCCGCGCACGCAGCCTCCACAACACAGTGCAGCCCAAACGGTAGCCGAACAAGAGCCGAACCAGCACGTATGCTACGGCCTGCGTCTTCGTTTGTGTTCGCGTTCGTGCGCTGCTTCCGATTTGCTGGCTGGCTGGCCGACCGACCGACCGACCGGCTTCTCAGTTTCTTACGTGACGCGAGACTGGCAGGTTGTGTCGTCGTCAACGCGCGCTCGATCGCTCACTTAGAATTTTTGGTGCACATTTCACTTTTTGCGTCTTCTGAGAGCCAACGTTATTTTATTTTTTTTTCGATTGTTCATTGCCGTGCATTTTTTGTGTGAGTGCCATTCTGGTTATTGGTATTATTTTTGGATATTTATTAAGTTCTGCAGCTGCCGACATCGGCGTCCTCGACGACGTTATCGACGTCTCGATCATGACTACCTGTTACAATCACAGCCACGAGTAGTGCATGCCTAGTTTGTTCAGTGTGTGCCGCGTGTGTGTGCGTGCGTGCGTGCGTGTGTGTATGTGTGTGTGTGTGTATGTTTGTATGAAGCTGTGTTGTTTTGTGCCAAGTTGCATGTTGCCAAATTTGAATTGCTGCCAACAACAGCAACAGCAACGGCAACAGCAGCGGCAGCGGCAGCAGTGACAACAACGGCCGCAACAGCAGCCGGCAGAAAAAACAGCGTAGTGCGTGCGACAGCCCCCAACGCCAGCCAAATGCGAGCAATGTTTATTTTTAAAGGCGACCGCCAGTGACAGGCCGACCGACAACGGCCCAAGTAGTAGTTAATAAGTAAATGGTTGAACATGAATTATGGGCCAAAGTGATCCATTCATTAATGGCAGCAGCTTTCCTACCAATTTACCTAAAAATTTGTCGGCGAACGCATCAAAAGCTTCAAGCTACAATACAAATAGGATTAACGGAAACCCGGCAACGGATATGACTAAGACTATAAGCTTGCAGCAAATTGAGCTCAGAAAGCTGGAATGTTTTGAAAGTCTTTAAAAAGAGTCATAAAATTTTAATAGGTTCTCGTTTGTTTTCGTCAATGTCTTCCGTTTCTTCTCCATCTCCATCTTTTTAATCTTCTGCTGCTCTGACATTTATGTGCTCATGCTTTGGCTTTGGCGTTGGCTTTCCAAACATCGCGGCCCGATTATGGGAAATTCACTTGAAATCGACTTTAATTGAATGAGCCGATACGACTCTAGAGTGCAAATTATAATTGAAATTGATCCCTAACAATTCGATCTTACAATCTTCGATGGCATATAGAATACGCAGAAGCCGCAACCACAATTATTGACGAGGGGGCATCACCTCCGAGGACACCCACCAAGGGAACGCCGACAGCTGCACAGGTGCAGCCAGGTGAGTGCCAATCGACCATATTTAGTCTTGTCTTGTCTTGCCCATCACCCGCATCCGGCATCCCGCAAGCAGCATCCCCGTTATCCCAAAGTAAAGTGGTAAAGTGGCCAAAAGCTAACGGCAACGGCGCACGCACAAAATCGCTCGAAAGTAGTTCAGCTGGTCAACAACTGCACGCGTAGCTGTCCATAATTGCAAGACGGGCCGATCGAGTTGGCAATTTGTACGGTCGGTTTCGAATAGCGACTGGCGAATAGCGAATGGCTGGTGGCCATGTCCTTTTTTGGGTGGGCCTGGTCGTTAAGGCGTTAAGCGAGGCAGCAAAACAGCAAAACAACAACTTCTGCTGACCAGCTTTTCATTTACTTGTATTTATTTATTTATTTATATTTACTACAAGTATATACTCTAAACGCATGTGTCTCTCTCGCTCCCTCTGCCTTGTGTGTCTTCTGTGTCTTGTGTGGCCCATTTTGTGTGTCAGCAACAAGTGCCGTAGACAGCAACTCAATCAAACAGCTAGACTGAAGCGATGTGTATAGTCCAGTCCAGAGCAGCAACAAGTTACAAGTAACACTGCGGCTGTTGTTGTTGCTGTTATTTTTGTTGCTGTCTTACCTACAACGAAGTCAGTGGCGGTCGCGGCATGGGCTAAAGGCAGAGGCAAAGGAACGACCCATGCTGTTGATAACATTAATGAACTGTCTACAACTGCCTCATCGTCTTCGTCGTCGTCGTCGTCGTCGCCGTCGTCGTCTTCGCTGTCTCGCCGCACAAGAATAGAAACGAACACAGCAGCAGCAGCAGCAGCAACAGCAACAACAAAACAACAACATGCACATCTAGTTGGCAACACACACACACACACACACACGCATTTCACTTGGCAAGATGCAGCAAAAGGTAACAATGAGCATGGAATGCAGTTGAGAGCGCGCCCAAACTAGCAGAGAGATGGAGAGAGATAGTGCGGGAGGTGGGCATGAAGCGGGAGGGAGGGAGAGCGAGCGAGCAACAATGTTGCTCAGCATGCTGTTGCTTCGACTGTGTCTGTTCCTGTTGGTCGCAACATTTTCCTGCTAACAATAAATCAAAAGACAGTGCAACGAAAGAAGACCAAAGAGCAATGCAGACAAAATAAACGCTGGCAGAATTGGAATTGAGGAAAAACCCAACATAATACAAATCAAGGCAAGTGTCGTTGTTGTCGTTGTTGTCGTCGTCGTCGCCGTCGCCGTCGTCGTCGCCATCGTATCGTCAACATTCTCCTTCTCTGTTCTCAATTCTCCATTCCATGGAAGTTGCAGGCAGGCTAAGGGCATGCCATAGCCATTGTTGTTGTTGTTTCTGTTGTTGTTATTGTTGTTTATGAGATTTCATTATTACTTTCGATTGTTGCTGTCCACGATGGTGATGTTGATGCTGATGCTGATGATGATGCTGCACTGCCGTACATTGTTGCCGCCCATTGAGCAGAGCAGAGCTGCGAGCTCCTTTTTTGAAAAGGTCTCTGGGCCCAAACAAATAAACAGACAGCATCGACATCGCCATCGCCATCGACTTCGACATCAACGTGAAGAACAACAAGAACAACATTCTGAGCTCCTTTTGAGCCACTCTAATCGCATAAGCGGCAAGCAGTGGGAACGCGTTGCTAGGGGCAAAAAAAAAAAGGTACAAAATAAATAAAGCAATAAATGGAAAATAAATGTGAAAATTTGAAAATTGCTTTTCAAGTGGCCAAAAGGAAACTCTTAAGCAGCTTCTCATCCATCCCAGATGACGACACAAAAATTGAGAGCCCACATTCCAATGATTTCTTGTTGGCCATTGATCGCGTTGATCCCATCTCCATCTCCTACCCCAGCTCGATGCCATCTCTAATGGCCTAATGGCATTTTCTAGGCCATGCTGCGCTCCACTTGCAACGCTTCACACGCTAGTCAGCCAGCTAGCCAGTCTCAATGCATCTGATCCGACAATCCGGCAATCTGACGATCTGACGATCTGACATTCTTATGACCCAGCAACGACCCAGCAGCCTACTGCTCGATGACCTCGTTCCATTTGGCACGTTGCTAATTGCAAAAACACAATGCTATCGTTTCGGTTTCTCATATTGCAGCTGTTCTTCCCCCCTTCTTTCCCATCTTCATGTTTCTGTTGTTGTCGCAGCAACATACTCGCACAGCCAACTTCGGAATGGATCTTGGAGTTGGGCGTCAAATTAGCCATTGACACCTTGTAGCAAGTTTTTGGGGCCGCCGTAAAAACGGCGCATAAAAAATATTTCACGCTTTGGCCCATCAACATCCCAACACACACACACACACACACACACACACACACACACACACACACTCAGGTAAACTCTGGAAAAAACATTGAGTTACCAGAAAGACGGTGGACGGACGGACGGACGGACGGATGGATGGATGGACTGAGCAACGGCCAAAAATTATGATTAATGTTCAAGACATAAATTGGATTTGATTTCTGTTTGGCTTTCATTTGTTTTTTGCGCACGCTGGCCAAACGCTCAACAGGCAGCGGACCTGTGGCAAGGAGGAAGGAGGGTGGTGGGGGCAGGAGGAATGGACCGGTTGCTTGATCGCTTGCTCATTCGATCGCTCGCTCGCCGGCCCGTTCATTACCACAGACAAATCATTGCCGGCTGCTTTATAGAAGACGAGAAAAAACTTTGTACGATTGGCAATGCTTTTGTTTTTGTTGCCGTTGTTGTTGTTGTTGCTGCTGCGGCATGCGCGGCCCAAAAGCCCAAAGGTGGTAATCAACATGAATGAATGGGTCGCAGTCGCATAAGCCGCATGAATGAGCGCGTCTAAGTCTCAATGGCCGGATCATCATTGGGTCGGTTTGGTTCGGGCCATGCCGGGCCGGGTCGGAGTCTGCATGAATGAGCCATCGAGGTGGAAGTAGAAGTCGAAGGTAAAGGTAAAGGTAGCTTAGAAATGTGTTGTTGTGCTCTTTATACCTCCATCTTCTCGGTAGGCTAAACGTAGCGGAAGTGTAATTGCACGGCCCAACCCAACCCAAGCCAAGCCGATCCGATCCGATCCACAAATGAGCCGAAAAAACGACGAGTGTAAAGGCGCCGCTCCATATGCCTCTGCTCGGTGGCAATTACCGAAACGGAAGCGCATTACATGCCCTGTAATGTAATAGGTGATGTGCTCTAATGTGATGGATTCAGGTTTAGGTTCAAGTAACTGGGAAATAAGATAAAAGACTGCGCGTTGTTGCCAGCTCTTTACATTGCGCGATTGTCCCTTCTCTAGGGTGACAATATTTTTGGGACGCGGCAGACAACTAGACTCAAACAGATATATGTATACAATGTGTGCTGAAAATTATGATGTACTTGGTTATGCTGATATGTAGAATGCTGTATACACTGCAAGATAATACGAATTGGCAACAAACTTAAATGTATGCTAGCCTTATCATTTGGAGGTATGAGCCCCGATAGATAGTGAACGAAAGAAGCCAGTCGCACTTAACTCTTGGCATGTGTACTCCACAAATTTGCATAAAAGCCAAGCTGACTCTAAGCATAGGGCAATAGCTGCCGCAAGTATCAGCAGCATCAGGAAAAAAAATTATAGTATTACATTCATTCAATATCCAAAGAATATTTTTGGTTTTCTTCAAATTTGTGGTACACTGCATGGAAACTTTAGATGAATCCATCGTACTTAAGAAATAAATAAATAATAAATAAAATAAAAAATTTTATGGTTTTCTTAGTAGAAGGAATCCTTAATAAAAGTATATTTTTATAGTGAAGAACGTATAAGCACCCCCCGGTTTCAAGTAAATAATGAATAATAAAAAGAGTGTAATAACAAAATGAATTAATAACTAACAATAATATAGTAAATAAACTGACTTCTTTTTAGTTTGAATTAATTGACCATCAGATATTGCATTTTAGGCCAAATTTTCCTGAAGAGGGAAGAACAAAAAATGAAATTCACAATAACTAATAATAAACTTCAAAATTATAAAAATAATACATAAATATATTAGACATAAAGGTATCATAAAGCAATCTTATCCCAGGCAGGTACAAGCAGCTTGTTATTAATAAATAATTTTTATAGTAGTGCTTTGAATAACCTTTGCAGCCAAAAAGGGCTTTTGGGCTTCCATAAATAATTGTATGCTTCCTATTGATTCGTTTGGGCATAGCTACTGGATACTGTATCCACAAATATGCTCTTAAAGATTCATAGAGTGGGTTTTTATAGTATATAAATCATTATACAAGTATTTCTCCCATTACTTCCTTCAGGGGAAATCAGGGGAATTATCTTGACTCTGCTTACCAATAACGAGGCCGGACTAGATATTCTCAGATGTGATTATGTTGGAGATTGTGCTTTTCGCATAAATCGTTCGATTAGAGGTTAAGAATATGCTTCCCCAAATATTTTCTTAATGATTATAGAGCGGGTCTTTTTGTTTTTGTTTTGCCCGCTGTTGAAATGAATCTGTACTTTTGCATACGAGTATGATACTGCGGCCGCCCTGCTTCTGGCAACGTAGAGGCGAGCGTGCTGTGCACACAACTCGGTAGCACGTAGCGGGCCGCGCTTATCGCAACGAGGATATCAAGAACACGGGGCCTTATCGACGACCATCGTCAGCGCCGTGACAGTGAGAAATGGGACGATCAGACGCCGACACTGACGCTGACGCTGACGATGACGGTAACGATGACAATGTTGAACGCTTTGCGTCTGCGCGACGCGCCAGGCCATGTCGTACCGCGTCAAGTTGAGGTCGGGGCCGAAACGGAGACAGAGACGGGGACAGAGACGCGGTAGAGACAGACAGGAAGTGAGCTATTTGCACTTCGAAACAAGTCATAATTTTTGACAATGGACCGGGGTAGACCGCCGACGACAGCAGAGGAGAGCAGAGCAGAACAGAACAGAGCAGAGCAGAGTAGACAGGCGGAGGCAGTTACTTGGAAT